TTTTTCATTGTAAAAGAGTTTTACTATAGGGCGAACAGAGACCTTTGTAATTAGAATGAGTTCAGAATTGTCCAGTCTTTTTCAGTAAACTTCTTTTTTTCAAAGAGAATTAAATAAAATAAAATTTGCTTCCAAGCAACTTCTTTCATGGACTTCCTCGCCCTATAATTTGATTATCATGACACAAGTACTGGCGTGAAACTCGACTTCAAGCTCATAACACCCTGTTTTTTTACATTCCTTGAAATTGTTTCTCTTTCAGTGGTTGTTGGGCTATCATTACCTGAGATTGTCGTATCCAATCTATGTTAAGTGGTTGAAAAAGTTCAACTCGAAACAGCTCCAAGACTCAGATTAGCAGCATTTACTAAGCAGCAAGTAATTAGTAAGTAAGGTAAGGGAATCTGCAGCAATCATGCTGTTGTTTGCTAAGCAGCTTACGGGCTCTTACTCCCCGCATCACAGCATACCGCCGTCGCTGTGACTACCTCTCGTGCTCGTCTCTACTGCTCCTTCCTCATTGACCAAATATCCAGCTCTTTTTCATCGTCACTTAAGTGCCCTTCACCTTGATTACGGTACTGTCCGTTCGTCTGCCACTGACTGTGCCCTGCACTTGTAGGAAAGTGAAAAGATCATGGTAGGCAGCTGAGACTTGGCGCGTTTTGATGTGCGATTATAAACGTATTTATGCTCTTTAACGACAGCAACTGTTCCTAATTACGCGATACCATAGGACCATTCACTGCCGAGATGGTCGAGTTCAGCGGAGCAATTCTCGTGAATTTTTTTGCGCAAATTTCAGTCAGTCAATTTCAGTCAATTTCAGTCTTTTCTCTAAGTACATACGTAATCTCCTTATCCGTGAACATTCATCTGATAGTTAATTCCACATATGTAGTACCACTGCAATCTTCGAAAGTCTACTTGCATTAGAAGTGCCCACTGAGGTAATATGGGTGAAAGATTCCCATGAGCTGTCCAGTTTGCGAGTTTCAACTGCAGGTGTTTCACACCATTATTTTCCTGCGGCAAACTCGTTTATCCGTTTATTGAGCGACTATCTATCTGGATGACCACTGACATATGCAGCGGAAGTTCTGCTCAGTGGTTTTGTTTGTAGAAATACAGAGATTGAGATAAACTTTATTGACCTCTAAATCACAATTTGATTACATTTTCGAAGGCCGCCTTGTAATTACTATCATATAAATTCAACAACGCTTTCAGCATATTTGTAAGCAGAAGAATAAAATTTGCTTGCCAACATTACAAAAATTCAGCATCTTTTTATTTGAGACAGTAGACAAGTGCTGTTCAGGGCCGGCACAGATCGTTTGGAAGCAGGCTTGACTTCGTTTACGGGGCGGAAAAGCAAAGGGGATATCGTTTTCGTGGGTCCGAAATACAAGTTAGGTTAATTTTTCACTCAACGTAAAATTTTGCGAAAGTCAGGCAAGAGAGGGGACTTCGTTCTTAAAAAGCCTAAAAATGGACTCATCTGTTGCTGTTACCTTTGTGGCGCTCCCTTCTAGGTCTAGATGAATTTTGTGTCCATTCAAAAATTTCTCAAATTATTCTTTTTGACGATCACGGACCACATATGTATGAACACTCGCATAAAAAAATAATATCCAATAGGTTGTTCTGACCACAGCTAAGCAATCAAAGAACCCCAAGAAACTCCGCAACTTTACCTCGAATGCGTTGAGCCACTATCGGCATATCACGAGCAGTATCGCATTTCAAAGCCCACTCCCTCAACCGGAGTGCGTTACCCCTTGACCGAATAAACACCTCTTGAAGAGGGTGGAGGATGCAGAACAAAACTCAGGTCAGAGGTGTGAGTTCCATTGTCCATTTATGTACAGATCGGGTAATTTCTTTGCACATATAACATGCAATGTAGTCCCTGCAACTCAGTCATTTACCTCACCTTTACCTTTATCAGTTACAGCGCAAAAGGTGACCGACACCGGAATTACGCTGTCCACACTTGGTGCTGAGCGTGAATTATGATGCCAACGGCTACACACTAATGCTTCGTGAACCTCAGATCAAAGCGGTGACCATTCGCACTGAGTTAACGCTTGAGCGACACATCCGTAAGGTGTTTGAGTAACGTTGACCAATCCTGAATAGAGGCTTACGTCCGGTGTGAAGAGCCCCTAGCAATTCTTGCTCTGTCGGCCTGAGCTTAATGTGGTTTTGAGCACTTGGAGTGTGCCTAACGGGAAAAACTTTGTGACTCAACGTTTAACGCAGGTCCTATGAAGGACTTCTATTCCTTCGCTTAGAAGTCCTTATTAGTTCGAAATGCAAGAATTGCTAGCTAGGCTTGCCCATTGCGAAAATAGGGAAGTCACACCAACCCTAACACACTATTTTCACAGCATAATAGCAAACTGTATCATAATTTATAGTTCAGGTAAAAACGTTTTCGCGAACCGGTTTGTGTGAACCAAATAATTAGAACGCGTAGATACAACTAGGCAATCGACGAGAATTTTTGCATTTCCTGCTATGACAAGCCTGCGTTGCATAGAACATAGCTTTTTGAATTTCCCCCAATAGTGGAGAGGAGATTGATTTGCAGCTTTGATCATCGTATTCCTGAAAAAAAAATCGTGGTACTGTGTTGGCCCTAACGTCTATTCAAGACTTCCTGTACGAGACGAAAAAAAAAAACGAGACCCATCGTCGATCGTTCTATAATTTGTATTACCAAAGCCATTCATTGGCCTTTTTCTCTTCATTAGCCATCACAATTGAATTTCAATTCTCCAGGTAGCAATCTAAGAGTTTTCTTTCTTATGTCCTCTCTCTACCCCTTCCCCAGTGGCTGTTTTTCGGATTCTCAAAGCAATCTGCTCACTTTTGCTTGTGAAAAACGGCACCATGCTTACGTGATCTGATCAAAGCTAAATTGACACATCTAACTGCAGAAAAAGCTCCTTGAACCTAGTCGGGCACCATGTAGATCTTTATCGGTCGCACATTTACCGGTGAGAGGGGCATCGCTCGCCGACATCAACATCTTGCGCAACTAGCGGACAAGAGTTTTAAACTTACCTCCTCGCTTTTCTTCCTCAAGCATTCAGGCATTGCGTGGAGGCTTCTCTTCAATGATTATTTGGCTCCACGGGTGTCCTTCACTTTGCGATAAACTGAACAACTTTCACAACTTTCTGCTAGGAATAGGGGTCTGGCATATTACTCAGATAATTTCAACACTGGAAAAAATTCTAAGTAGCATGGCTTATTTTTGATCCAATATCAACTGTATATACTTCTTTGACTGAGAAATTGTCTCCGCAGCTGCGCGAGTTACGTACCTCATTTGTACCCGTTATACGTTCTATAAACTGGGCTGAAAAGTAGAAAATCTACTAGATTCGTTTCCTTCGTCTCTTCTTCAAAATCATATTCTACTTATCTATGATTTTATTCAGCGTTCATCCCTCTCGGATGTCCCATATTTCTGATCATATCGAGCAAATCCTGGCGGCATAAAATCCAATACTTGCTCCAAATTCCAAGTACTAATTTTCCTCCGAAAAGCTGACCCTTTGTTTTACAAGTGTATCAGAATGCTGCTCGCACCTTGATTATTGGCAGTAGCATCCTTCTATGCAATCATAAATTAGTATTAGCATCTTCAAAAAAATGTTTATGTCTTATCATTGGTTCAGTGAGATTTTCTTGATTTTTATAACAAGCAAAGGACTATCTGTTAAGCGACTGAATTAAGTTATGCGCATTTCGCATGATTCGTGCAAGTGGAGCATATCAAAATTGCAAATTCCTTTCAAGTTTATTGTACTGCTTTGTTTCTTGTGTAACTGTTTTGAGAACGGAACGGAAAAATAATCGGTATCCAAAATTTTATTTATTGAAAGCAAAATTTTAGTTTTAAAACTTTCAAAATGTCATCTAGAAAGTTTTAGCTTGAAGGCAAACAGTGTTCCAGAATGCATGTAATCACGTATATTTGATTAAAAATGGACGCGACCATCTGGCATCCATCCCTTGTCAGAATCGCTGCATGAGAAGTACTTTACAACAGCTTTGTATATGTTCTCTATCAAGTTTTTTTGAATACTCATCCTTTATCAGCTCATTATTATACAAAAGCATACTGTTCTATTCAATTCTCGGCAAACATGAACTAGCATGTTCCCTGTGACTGCACCTATTTTCGGCAGGTGTGAGACTGGGAGTATCACCTGGAGGGACGGATTCGCGCCCCATCGGGCGTTCGTTCCCACGATTCGCAGTTAGGAGATGGCTACTTTCTCAACCTTCTGGGCAAGCCCCCAAGTCCTAATTGCAAGACTGCCTCTGAGCTCCATATAAAACGAGTCTTTGCTGAATGCTCACCTTTATTTCCTCCACTTATTTTGTAGATTCGCGCACTACTCCACCCGACTGAAATGCCTCCAAAGTTATCTGATTTCCCTTTTGAAGCAAGTGTTTGACGTGCGTTGCACATCGATTTGAGCCAAGATGATATCTCGCGGTTTAAATAGGTTGAGATTAGCGATAAGGAAAATTCTCTGGCATTTTCGGAGCCTCATTTGAATGAAATCGGAAAATTGCCGTAAAACCTTGCGGTCATCTTGAAACTTTTTTGATTATTCGCACATCTGTAGGGTGACTCTCGTATTCAGACACTGCAACCTAACCTTCCTCACAGTAGCTTAAAATCAAGCTCCTGAAGTCTACTCATTCAGTTTGAGATTAACCTTATAAATCAATCATTTTCTATCTGCTTTCGACTTCTGTAATGAATTTCTGCGTTCGTTTTCTTCTGTAGTAGCTTGGCTCCATAGCTGAAGAAAACGGGCGGGAGAGCTATGAAAGGCGGTGCACCTAGGCCCCATCTCGGCTCCACCCCTTTTCAGGTCGCCGTATAGAAATTTCTTTTCGTGTCTGATATTTATTCTACTCATGATAAATTTGTATAAAAGTGATTATGGAAGAGATTATACATATTACAGATGTTGGCATTGCTAATTCTGCTACCTATTATTTCGGCGGAATCATTCTGGATGACAGCCGATCTGTTACGGGTGGATTGGAGAGAAGGATGCCTGACCACCGCTGGTTGCTCTCAGCCCAGATTCAAGGTGCAAACACATTTCAGTTTCTTTGTATTACTACTACCATTTTAGTCTAAAAGTGCTTCTTTAGGTGCTTGAAGACATGCTGCCAATCACCGAAAGGATTTCTATCAGTTGGCCTATCTCAGAACACTTTGTACAGGTAAGAAAACCATCAATTGCTTTAATTTTCAAATTTCCGATGACAAAGTGCCTTTTGAATGTAGTCTCAACTATTTAGTATTTTTTGCGGTTTTTTTCTTGTGGCACATCTTACATGCATTTTATTCGAGGATGCCTCACGCTCGTTTGTGTCTCACTGGACAAAAGGTAAACCAGAGGATCTAACGCTTACGTGCATAGGTGCGATAGGGGGAGCCGGATCTCCCCAGGTGAAGGGGGTCTCGGCTGTTCCCGACCTTCCAGGGTGAAGGGGGTATGTGAGTCTAGGGGGGGGGGAGGAAGAGAGAAAAGGTAAGAAAGCGTGGTATGAAAAGCTCTAATTTGTACCTTATTTAGGCACAAATTGAAAAAAAATTTAAAAATTTTCAAAAGAAATTTAAAAATTTTAAAAAAATTTATTATGAAGATCTGTGCTCTTTCACTGCATCAACAAAAAAAAGCAATAAGGTTTATCCCAAAAGATGTACAAGTTAGGAACAACTTCATTTCCTGCGCATCATCATCAACAATATCACTATCGCTAACGTCAGAGACAACAAATTCGGTGCCTGAAAAATCTTCTTCCTCCAAAAGGTCATCGGAGTGGAAGTAGAATTGCGTGCAAAGCGTTCTAAATCAAAAATGGATTTGAAACTTTCTTCTTCTTCTAAGCACTTTTGTGATTTTTTTTCCTGGCCTTCTGGTAGCATCAGGAAGTCAGCAGTTAGGTGACCAGTTTCTTCATACCATCTTTTAGGATATTTCAAAAAGTCATACGGTAACAGCCTGTCTGGACCACTTATACCAATCCTTTAAATGAAGTTTTTAGATAACAATGTGTTTAGTAGAAGGTTGACAAATCTTAAGTATTTGCAGATGCTCTATCGTTGTACGACTTCTGCATTTGTTCTGATAACAGAGTAGATAGAAAATTTCTTTCTCCACCTCTGCCGTGCCCTTCCGGAATGGAAACTAGCCTTGCTAGTAAGTCCATCAGATTTTTGCGGTAAGTAATGGGAAGAGAGCCAGATCGCATATGCTTTCGCAACATGGGAAGGAAATAGTGCATACTTTTTTGGGCCTTGTCAAACTCTGGCTTCACCTCCTCTGGCATACTTCCTGTTAACTGACGAGAAAGCTGCTCAACTTCTTCTTTAACAGCATCTGCGGAATAGCCGAAAAAAAGGAGGTGTTATGTTGCGCGTTGGTTTTTTTTTTCAATATCATAGGTCATATTGTCACAAGGCGGATAACTTTCAAAAGCATAAAGCACAGAGTTGAGTTCGCACTCCAGCCGGGATCTAAGTGCAGCAGCTTGCTTGTGCTAACACCTTCCTTTTGTTCATATCCATGGTTGTGAATTTAGCAGCCTTGAATTCTTCAGCAACCTGAAGATCAGCAATGGACTTCCTGGACATTTCCTCATTGAAGCTAGACAATCTGTTTGGATTCCTTATGCAGGAAATCAGAGAGTTTCGCTCAATTGTCAACTCTGTGTCAATGTCTACAACATTTTCGTCGGCGTAAGATTCTCCTTCTGCCTCGCTAATGAACTGGAACACATGCGAGTCATCTGCGATTTTGTAAAGTATTCTGCCTGCCGTTTCCTCTTCAAACTGCCAACCTTTCCAAAACAGAGGGATAATTTAATAACATGTTATTCTTCTGAATGTGTTAAAGTTTTTGATTCATTGAACCCAACCACCTTCTCTACAAATTAAAAAGGTGAGTCTAGAGCGTTTTCATGAAAGTAACCTTCTTCAGCACTAGGTTTACAGAGTATAGATTCCAGAAATGGGCACGTTTTTGTAAGAAGGGTGGAAATTTACCAATCTCCCCCCAAAAAACATAAACATATAACAACGATAAGGACGCTCAAATAGACGCGTTCGCTCACGTTCCCGTTAGTGCTGATAACAATGTCATTTACTATTGACTTGCTCCACCTCGCTCTTATTAGGTCGTCCAGAAAGTTTTTGCGCATGAATTTCAAAATTCATAGCTTCTGATTTTTCCAATCGATTTGACTGCTTTCACTTTTATGTGAAAGGGTAAGTCATGCTCTTTATAATGACTTCTCAGCTGCTTGTAATGGTCATCTGTTGCATAGATAGGAGCGATAGAAGAAAAATGGTAAAAATTTTAATTTTCTATGTAGGGTCATAAAAAATCGGAAACTTGCAACAAAAATCGGAGCAGTCAGTACTGTAGGATCTTTCACCAGCTCTTTCTAAACAGTGCAAAGTTTGCGCCAATTGAGGCGTCTCCATGAAAAATTATGATTTCCCTGAAAAATGCCAAAATAAACAAATTCGCCTTTTTGTATTGCTTGCGCGGAAATCATAACTTTTCATGGAGACGCTCAATCGAGGCAAACTCTGCACTGTTAGAAAGAGCTGGTGAAAGAACCTACAATACCGACTGCTTCAATTTTTGCTGCAAGTTTCTGATTTTTTATGACCCTACACAAAAATTCAAATTTTGAGTGATTTTAGTATTGAGCTTCTATCTATGTAATAGATGACCATTACTAAGCAGCTGAGATATCGTTATAAAGAGCATGACTTACCCTTTCAAATAAAAATGAAAGCAGTCAAATCGGTCGGAAAAATCAAAAGTTATGAATTTTTGAAAATCTTGCGCAAAAACTTTCGGGACGATCTATACAATGTGTTGGCTTTTACGGGTTACCGAAGCAAATGATTTTTGAAGCCGGGCAGCAAAGAAGCCCTAACATGCTGTAAACCATTCGAAAGCTGAGATCATGGAGAATCGACGTAGACCGTCGACTTTTTTCTATGTCTTCTGTGCCGCGAGATATGGGGGATTTTATGTGCTTCAGAAATTGACTGATATTGTGTACTCACTTTCTGCTCTCCAAATGAATGCTACGAGAAAGTCGACGGTCTACGTTTGTTAATGAAGACTTGCTCTTTAACACAGATAGATAATCAGCAGTGATTAGGTCTTCATTTGGCAGAAATCTGCTGTTGAAAATGACCATGTTCTCAGATAAAATGCGGTGTATCTCTCGGTAGAGGGGGACTAGAAAGAAGTCGACGGTCTAGATCGAATCCCCTTTTCCTGAGCTTTCGAATGATATATAGGTTGCTGCGCGAAAAAACAGACCAGTTTTCAAAAATGGGGTGGAGATATTTACTATTAGCTTGCTCCAATCCGGCTCCACCAATGTATTGGCTTTTATCGGTTACCGGAGCAAATGATTTTTAGAGCCGGGAAGCAAAGAAGCCCTAACATGCTGTATACCATTCGAAAGCTGAGATCATGGAGAATCGGCGTAGACCGTCGACTTTTTTCTAGGTCTTCTGTGCCGCGAGATATGAGGGATTATATGTGCTTCAAAAATTAACTGATTTTGTGTCCCCACTTTCTGCTCTCCAAAATGCTACGAGGATAAATAAATAATATAAATAAATATAAATACCGTTTCTTTAGTAAATTTATGAGTGTGCTTGTTGTTTGAGGTACTTAGCCTGCAAAACCTTTTAATAACGATTTTTATCATATTCTCAGAGTACAATACCAATCTCAGTCCAGATGAAGGGGGTCATCGGGGGTTTGGCCTCAAAGTGAAGGGGATAAGATCCACCACTCCCCCTATCGCAACTATGCTTACGTGCCAGGTGGTCGGAACAGACCCGACCTACGGCTTTCCACGAGTTTGCGACCAGACGGCGACGATTCGCGTCTTCTAAGAAGAAGTTGCTGAGACATTTGTGAGTTTCGACGCCTGTTTCACTAATTACTGCTAATTATTCGTGATCCTATTCCTCCCATACGGGAGCCAGCTGCAATTGCGCAATCTGGACTTTTTTGTTGCTAGGATTTTAGTACGGTGACCCAATAGTTGCAGGGACGGAATCGGCGTCATCAGGACATGACTACCATCTCTGAGCCGGAAGAGGAGCTAGGCAAGAAGCCTATAGAGATTCGGGCCAAATGCTTCAACGCCACAATAGCTGTGCAAAAGCATACGGAGAGATGTCCATGGTGTCCTGATCCTTCCGATGTAACATTAATTGAACAAAGGTTAGTAAATACTATTTTTTTTGTCGTATCATCTTTTTGGCTTCAGCGCTTACAATTTTTTTCTTGAAAAAGACAGTTATCACCTGATAAGCACATGGCTGATTATTCGGTCAATTCGACCCGCAAATGTCGCTCTACTGAGCTTTGTTTTCTTATGACCATATGAAAAGTCCACAACCCCAAGATCTCGTAAAGCATAAGTTAGAACCTACGAAAGCGACTTTTCCTGCAGACCATAATCAATGGGTGAACCAAAGAGTTGTCACTGTGACATGAGCGAGTGTTCTCAATAGCGCGAAACATCCCTGCTGTGAGGCCACACACCTCCAGTAATCAACAATAGCTCTGAAGCTGAGATTTGCAGATGCCAGAAGACACTTCTGCCCAGTCGACTTCTATTCTCTCACGATTGCAAGGAGATGAGTAGCTAATGCATGTATGTATTCTTACACTGGCAGGAATTGCTGTGCTGGCATCGTTGGGCTTCGCTTGTGTACTGGTTGTTTTCCTTAGACAAAAAAGGTTTGTGAGGCAGTATACAACTTATTCTCAACGCCTATCAATATTTTCCTTTGTTTAGGACTCCATTAAACCACGATATCAACCATATCCTCCTGCTTGCAAAGCGGCCGAGGACGATGATAGGTAATCCACTTTGCCTCCTCTCCTTCTCACTGTAGTAAGGGCACTTACACTGGTCCGCTATTTTTTTGTAATAACCCCGTACTCAGACAATCGACGGGACCCCTCCGCCGGACCCTCGGAAACTGCCAGAGTCGCGCCGGACCCAGTTGACCAATGAGAGAAGGGCAAATGGGCGGTCCATCGCGGTGGCATCACTGGCAGGCAAATGGGAGGCTTCTCCGGCCCTGCTGCAAAGGTCCGCCATTTCTCCGGCGCGACTCTGCCAGATTTGACGGACTCCGCGCCGCAGAGATCTGCGCGGCGCGTGTCCGCCAAATTTGGAAGAGACGCGCCGGAGAAAATGGGAGGGGTCCGGAGCAGAAATGGGAGGCCTCCGGAGCAGAAAATGGGGGGTATCCGGAGCAGAAAATGGGGGGTATCCGGAGCAGAAGATGGGAGGTATCCGCCGGAGAAATGGGAGGTATCCGGAGGAGGCTGCGTATCGATTTGGCGCGTAGCAAGCAAACGTCTAACTCCACGGTGATGCGTCCTCTGTTTACGCTCTTTGTCCATATTTTAGTCGCCGTTTCTTTGATTCTGTTGTTTTTGCGCGTTTCTTTACCGTTTTTTCCTTTTCCGCGTTGCTCTTCGTCGCGTTGGCGTTTATGTTGCTGTAAGTTCCTCGTTTTCAGGTTTATGTTTGAAATTTTCGTGCGGTTGCACTCAATCACCTTCAGTGTTTGGCTCTTTCCGACTTGCTGAGACATCGTAGACTATTGATGGAGTGGTTTTTGTGATTAATTCTGGATTTTCGAAACAATGAGGTTAGTTGCGCAACTATCTAGTGTTGTTACACAATCGGCTGCGCGGGCGGTCGCATCGCGCATCCACTCTGTGTGCTTGGGTCACGCTTGCTGGGACTCATCATTTTCGAGTCAGATAGCAGGATAGAATGACATTTATGTCACATAACCACTTCATGCATACTTCCATAAATCCACTCTATTGGCGAGAAGAGTTCTGCGTCCTCCTATCTGACACTGTCATCGGCTTGAAGATTGAGAATGGTTCATACATTTCTGCAAGAAAGTTCGAATAGTGATTGTGACCAACCCCATGGCGCATCTGTGTGCTCTTCTGTTCTTGCTTTCTTTTGACAAGTTATTTGCCCAACTAAGGCTAAACTGTGCCAGTGAAAAACGTGTTTGAAAAAGCAAGAATGGATGTTTGGCATGCCCTAAGGTTTGCTTTTGGATTTACGTTATCGCTAATGATCTTTTACACCTCAAAAGGCAAAGAAGGAAAAGAATATTTGGTTTTTGTTATTGTTTTTTGCTCCTCCTTTGCTGCTGATTTTTGCTCAAGTAAGCTCCTTCTGGTCTCAGAGCACTATTCATATTAGCGTTGCTTGTTTTGTTGGAACGCTATTTTTGATGGGATCATCGTGCTCTGAGGCTGAGTTTGATACGACGTGCACATTCTTGAAGCTGGTATCATGTTTTGTTTCAAAGATAAGCATAATCGTTCTGAAACTAGGAGACTCGAATACGCACTATAACGCCCGCGGTTCCGAGGTGTAAATTGGGGTTTTAGGTTTTGAGGTTTCCGAGGTTTATTCGCGCTTCACAGCACTGCACATATTGTCTCAACAAGCTTTTGTAGGTACTCGTTCCTCCCTACTTCAGAGTAGCAAATAGATAGATCACAAGTGTAAAGTTGCTAATCACACAATCAAACTTGTTTAGACAGTATGTGCAAAGCGTGCCCGAGTCTTTTAGTCTTAGAATATGTGATCATCTTCTCTGTGAATCAAATACAGAAATACGGTCACACGTTGCCTGACAGCTGATGACTGTGTCTTTCGAACTCCAAGTGCAGTGATTCAAGAGGAGATGAAGCACATACACTAATTCGTTAGTTAAATGTGCAAAGCATACTCGAGTATCCTTCAATCAAAGAAGGACAAATTCAGATATAACAGATCCGTTGGCCAGGTGAATGCAATTGAAAACTTTCAGTGAACATTTGCTTATACGGAAGTGTAGAAAAATTATTGAGACGTCAAAGTTTCCAATGGCTTGATTCCCTTGAACATCGCATTCACCCAGACTTCGCATCCGATTCGGCACTTCTCCGTACTTGGTTTGCCTTATGTGCACCTGCCGATTGAGCTGAATTGAAGCGTCACATCCTAACCCACAAACCGAAAATCCTGCACGGGTTGAGTAATCGAGAGGCTGAAAGGTGATTCTAAAAAGCAGTGCAGGTGCAGTTGGGAAATCAAACTCGGAGTAAAAATCGTTTCTGAATGACTTCTATTCTGAATGACTGCGAAATATTCCTTCCTGAGCGCGATCTGAACAAGCGTGACCCAAGCACACAGAGTGGATACGCGACGCGACCGCTCGCGCAGCCGGCTGTGTAGTTTTAAATGGGGCCTGCCGATGGAAGCACTGACTCGACTGTAACGTATGCCGAATCACTTATATCAAGGTTTCACGAACGGAATGTTGGTTTTCGAATACGTAGTGGCACGGAAAGTGGAGGTACCTCAAGTTTTGTCGTTTTTATAGTAATAATAGACGAAACGGCTTTCGCATCAAGTCTTTTCATCTTGGTAGGTGTCGGCTTTGCGAAGAACCAAGCGGTAAAAATGTCTTCTGGACGGTTTATCTCTTTCTGTGATGCGGATGATGTTTCGGAGCCAAGCAGATTACAGGAACAGTACAACTTGGCGATTTCTCAGAGGAGCGATTTGGTTTTTATTGGTGAGCTTGTCCAAATTCAACTTTCTTCGTCTTGAATAAGGGTCTTCTAATAAGCACAATCTCATATGTGACCTCGGCAAATTCTTGAGATTTCGCATAAAACCCGTTTATCCCATTACAACCTTGATTTATTTTTTCTTGTTAGATGTTGTACAGCTGTATCACTTTGCCCATTGCGTAGGTAGTAACTTCACCAGAATACCGGAAGGATCCACTGAACGCTATACTAAATGGACCCATGATTTGACAAACGAAGAATTGAAATTGCAGGTATAATCTCGGATCGTACAATCTTGTTGTTGCCCATCGGTGCTGAATGTGCTTCTACTTTAGGTGTATACGTCGCATGGGCCCACTCTTATAGCTCCTACATGGTTCATCTCAAGAAAACTCTTTTCTGCGGTAGGCGGTTTCAAAGACGACGTGCGCTTTGGATTTCCCGAAGATCTCAATTTTTTCTACCGTGCATTAGACATCGATGATGTTGCATTCTCTAAAGTACGTTATTTGCAAATCCGTAATGCATATATATTGCTTTCGTCTCTTCAGGTATGTAAACCCCTAGTGAACTATCGTTCACTCCGGATGTGCTTCTTTTGGTGTTTCCGAAGCTGCTATATGGAACATGCGTGTTAGTCGCTTCTGCAGTCATGTGCTTCCTTTCTGGAAAACATTCACAATTTGGAATGCTGGCAAACAAGGAAAGCGATTTTTCAAGTGAGGTGGAATCTGCGCTCTTACATTCCCAAAGGTGAGTCAGTTTCGAGGTCCCTTTCCGAAAGTGATAAACAACGCGTTGTATCGTTTTGCGATGTCGACGTGAAGAAGATCAAACGAGCATGGCTGGAGGATTATGACGAAAAAGCACGAGTAGTTCGGTGGAAACTACCCATTGTTCATGTGAAGTGAGTTAGCATTCTGATGTGATTTGTGGTGAAAGGCACCGATCACCCAAAATGGGGTCCATGAGATTTTGAAAATGATTTGGGGTCCATGAGACGTTAAAAATTGAGCCAAAAAACATCTGGGCAGCAAATGGAATAGGTACGTTTCGTATCGGAACAAATGACTAATTTGCTACTTCTTTTTCGATCAAAAACCGTATGTTTTGGTTTAGGCTGCGTATTAGCATCGAAAGAATGTGGCAAGATGCCCGTGACATCTTCGCTCAAGTTCGTGAAGCTACCTCGGAATTCGAAGATGTTTGGATGAATATAGCTCATGTATATATCGAACTTGGACAATATGTCCCTGCTTTGCAAATGTGAGTTTATGGCGCTCCTCGCTGTTTTGTTTCATGTTGCACAGAATGCTTTTTTGATCTTTTTGTCATTTTCTTACCATGTTAAAACCATATGTTTGTACTGTGGTGTTACAAGGTTCTTTTTGCAACTAGGAAATTAGCTTTTCTTTGAATATTCTTATCTCTAATTCCTAGTATGGTTTTTGTAATATGAATTAACTGTTGTACGTATGCTGGAGATAGATAGATAGATTTTTCGAAAGTTTGAAAAATTTGAAATAAATGTCTTATCTCTTCGTTCTTTCTTCTATCTTCTATCCACAAACGCTAGGGGTGAGAGGAAGGGGGTAGAGTACGGGGTGAGGGTCGCGCTAAACTCCTACCCGGGGGGGGGGGGGTCCTATTCGGCTTATTTGGGTGGGGTTTAGAGACAAAATTGGAGTTTGGAGCTTAAAGGCAGCGTCCAGGCAAGTCTGGACCTATGGGTATTTTACATGGAAAGTACTTTTGGGGCCCTAACTAAGCCATTACCCAACCGGCAGCTCAAGTAGTGCTCTAACGCCTGAGATATTCTGCTCGAAACCGGACCCCGCGACCGTGTTTTGCATGGATTCATGGCGCAAAGCGCGGATCCTGGCGCGAAACTGCCATGAATCCATGCGAATACGTTCGCGGGGGGTCTGTTTCGAGGGGAATATCTTCGCCATTGGAGCACTACCTGAGCTGCTGCTTCGGCAGTGCCTTAGTTAGGGCCCCAAAAGTACTTTCCATGTAAAAGCCCCATAGGTCCAGATCTGCCTGAAAGCTGCCTTTAATTAGGGCTAATTACAGTATGCCGCGATCGGGGGGCTCCGGCGCACAAAATCGGGGGGCTCCGGAGCAGAAAATGGGAGGTATCCGGAGCAGAAAATGGGGGGTATCCGGAGCAGAAAATGGGGGGTATCCGGAGCAGAAGATGGGAGGTCTCCGGAGCAGAAAATGGGAGGTATCCGCCGGAGAAATGGGAGGTCTCCGCCGGACAAATGGGAGGGCCCCGCCGGACAAATGGGAGACCCACCGCTGGGGATACGCCGCGACCCTGCCACTTCTCCGACGGAGGGGTCCCATCCATTGTCTGAGTATGTCATCGCACAACGGCGAGATATGCGTGCGTCCGTCTAGATGATGAATAGGCATCACTCGCACCTTACGGTTATGATAGATGTCCGCGAATACTTTGAGTGGTCAGCTATTAGCATACACTTTCAGGTACGACATGCCTTGGGAACAGACGCGTCCGCTCACTTATAAGCTGTCATCATCGTCGAAATCAGAGGCTACAACCACATCGCCGCTTGATTCGGTGTCGTCGCTCCGAGGCTCACCTCCAGTCGTGATCCCATATGGCTTCCGATCCGGATGTACGATACCGCAGACAAACCTTTATCACCACATCTCTCCAAACTCATCGATAGCGGAGCATGACTCTGGTCGGAGCTCAATGTGAAGCTATGGTTCTGTGTCATGACGACAAACTGATGCGGGTATGCTAATCATATCTTTCTATTGTACAATAAATGTCATCTGCGTTTTCAGATCGAGTGCACTACTACCTCCAGTACCACTTCACAAAGGATCCAGAAAACATTCGAGGACGCATTGAGTGACAGATATTCTGTGCAAATGCCTTTTGGACGGTGACCTTAGCGTTACACCAAGATATTGTACGTTTTAATTCGTGTTTTCATCATGAAAAAGCATCATCTCATTTTACAGGCTCGTATGCAAATATCCTACTTCGCATACTGATGCCACACGCTGCTTCACCTTACAAAAGCTGCTACGACAAGCGCAAGACGACCTGCAAAGCCCTAGAATCGAGATGTTTACTTGCGCCACTTCTAGTCCGCTGACTTGTTCAGAGCAGTAGGCTATTTTTCAGCTGTGTTATAAAGTGTTGTCTGCTTTGGTAAGCAAGCTCAGTAACTTCCTTTGTAAGCCTGAATCCTCTACGGGTGAATGTAAAATTTTTATGCAAATATATTTACAGAGATATGTGTATATATTTATGTAATATAATGTACAAATAAATATTTGGCTATATATGCATGAACACCACAGTCTATTCATCAAATTTGTGTTAGTCCACTTACCGATCTTCGTTAAAAGTGTAGCTTTATTCGTCTGAGGTCTCAATCATTTGCTGCTACAATACCGCTCCCAGAATGTGCAAAATCTTTTCAGCGCTCGAGCAGAGCAGTGTGAATGTTCTGGACAAAAGATATTCTTCAAACGGAGTGCTCTGATAACCAACATTGCACAATTTGAGCAATTCTGACAAATTTTGTTCTAGTTATGCATTCAATTTTTCATCGCACAAGACGCTCATAACTCGATGTCCGGACGCTCTCAGTAGATAAAGAAAATAGATTTGGAATCAACGTTCGATGCTCTTTATAGTCGTATCAATATCATGTGAAAAGGCCACTTCGGCCGAATGGACCTCCTTTGTAAGTAAAAAAAAGATCCAATTATAAAGACTGTAAAATCACTTCCTACCTAAGTACCAACAATAACTCTTATATGTGCTGTCAATAATTGCAAAGAAAACATGTTCATTTGTGAGCTGTTGTTCTGAGCGTTGCCAGGAATTTCAGTGAAGTATTGCCTTGCCTACAGTTAGTGGTTATGCTTCTGGTCTATTTTTTTAGTGGCTAGAACAAAAGCCAAAATTTCGAACTTACGGTGTTTACCACTTCCAAGTTTGGAAACTTTCTAGATTTTTCAATTTGTACCTTTGAAGAAGGTTTTCGATAGCAGGTGCATGTATAAATAGACAATAAAACGGTATTTCGGGGCAATTCCATCTAGCTCTCCAGTACTATTATGACATTTTTTTTCAAGAGTCTTTAATTTTGCGAAGACGCATCATACACGAACGCATCGAAAACTGTAAAATATGTGGAGATGAGAGTTCCAAAATTGACAGTCACTCATCACTAGTGTTACAAAGCAAATGAGCGTTCAGTGGCTAGGAATGTCGAATTTAATAATTGAGAAGCAGCGTTCTACGAAACCAGAATTTTATAGCAATGGTAATTTCGTACGAGTAAGCTTTACAAATTGGAAAAAAATCAATAGGAAAACGAAATAAAGCTGCATCAAATCCTTGTTGCTCGTTTTCTGACGTTTTGCGATCTTTGGCTTGAGCAAACAGGAATTTCAATGTCATCAATAAATAATCCTAGAAATTTTGAAAAGACAGCTACAGATGCAAAAAACTGTTGTGCTGCATTTTGTTTAGGGGGGGGGGCGCGCCTCTCCCTCGGTACGCCACTGCTACCCATCTATTATCAGAACTCTTACGGAAGTTCAGAACAAGAAATTTGAAAAAATTGTCGACATTTGGCAGAAAAGCAGTGGTTGAAAATGTAGCAATCATTTTAGTGACCATGAAAGGAGATAGTCCAGGAGCATGACCACTTCAAAGATGAAGAAAAGCTGCGTCGAATAGTTATAGAATCGTTTGCCTTCTTGCATTCCATGTTCTTCGATAAATAACTTCTGGAACGACTCTGCTTATCTTTTTACATGACTCTTAATTCTGATGCAACATTTTGTATGGGATCTGCGTCTTATGCCTGCTGAGCACACAAATACATAGATCATTCACCTCTGCACTAGCAGTGTGCAGCTTCACTGTGTTAACGGCACTTTAGTGAATCTTTTCTGGCAAAACTCCAATTTTGTTCAGGCACGGATGCTTATTATTTTTCCCTTTTCGAAAGCTTAGCTCCAGCCACGGTTTTTAGATTTTTTTGGAGGAATTTATCCTGGTTTTTTTGAGAAGTATTAGTCAGCTTGCAGGTAAAAGCTAATCTTTGCCAATTTTTTTGCAGAATTGTTTTTTGCAGAATTGTAGCTACTTAGACTTTTCTGATAATAACCCCAACTTAATGACTCAAAAGGATTACATTTTTTCTAACTGTATATTCATCGTGGACGTTATTCACAATAACAGTCACAATTTGCAACGTCTGCTGTTCACACATCCTCTCATTTGCTCAATCCTTCACGCACCATTCGCTTACTGCAAATTCACTGCTGCCTGTAGCATGAGAGAAGAGTCAATGGAAGACTTTTGTGTTTATAAACCTTGAAACGAACTGTTCTAAACGCTTCCTACATCGATGAAGGTAAACTGTGAAAATGGAATAGAACTGACAGTAAACATCTTGGCATTCGGAATTTGCCACAACCGCCTTTCAGCTGTGGCAAAAAACCAGACACTTTTGAATCAATTTTTTCCTCACATAACTGGGAGTTTTAGTGTTTCATGATACACACTCCCTACTCCAAATAGGCTTACAGATGGTAGAGGTGACTGTTTCCATCGCAGTCTGTTATGCACAAACCCTTGTGTGTATCATCCGTGTGAATCGAGTGTGTGCCGTGAGCACACAAACTCTCCTTGTTCCAACGTAGGCTTTAGCTTTAGCTTCGTTCTTCCGCATCTGGATAATTCCACCTTTCTCAGCTGCACTTTGTCATGGTTTTATGGATACGATTTCAAGCAAGGCTTCAAAATGAATTGTTGTTTGAAAAAAGTAGACATTTTGAAAAACGATCAAAGAAAGGTATGCTGCTTATCCTGTTGTTTAGTAATGTTCATGCTAGACATTGTGAGTTCAAGTGAGGATTGTCGAAGTGCGAAGTACGATGAAAATCTGTCTTGTGAATTGTTCCGTTCTCAAACCATAATTTTAACAGTCCTGCATCTGTCGCTTGTCCACCTGCTTCGCTTACTGTATAAATCATCTCCCACGACTGCTGTCCCCACAACCACCATCTTTCCCTATACGAACACACTATTAGCATAGCATATCTTGGAAAGAGAGAAAATTTTAGTGATCAGTCTTGAGTCAACGTCAGAACTTGTAAACTTATTTCTTCCAGCGATATTTCGTCGTTCTATCTACATATCTGTATCGATCATCTGCATATTTTGCAATTTTTCAAAAGCATTGCGAGTGTCTATTACGAAGAAGAGAGAGTCCCTGATAAATCAGTTCATTGACTACAGATTTACGCACTCAGCGAGTCACTCTCCTTCCATGCGAAGGTGTGGTTGTAACAGCAAAAGTACCGTAATTACGTCATTTTCCATAACTAGCCTCTCAGTGACGATAACAATGATGAATACAGTCAGAAAAATTTGCATAATCCGCCCATCGTATTGCGATTTTGTGTGTGTTTGCATTGTGATTAGCAATGTAGACAAACATGGAGCGCACTACTCATCCGGAAATCGGATCTCGTTCGAGCAGCAGATGGGCTCGAAGCGTTCTTCATGCCATGACTAAGCTAAGAACCAACAGCGATTGCTGTTTGTAGCGATGCTCCAATCATATTTAATTTAGGCAAACACTTTTCTGAACTCTGTTCTCTTTGAAAAAATTTATGTCTAGAAGGCGTTGCTTTAGTCTGTATCCTCACTTCAGATGGCATTTCGCTCCGACGCTTTAGACTTGGAATATCAAGTCGTTAACTTTAGTTTAGTGAACATTATGTTTCTTCTCGATTAATTGTGCACGCACAAAATAAAGATATCAAAGGAATGGACTGCAGGTCGACCACGTTTTTTCAAATAATTTCGAGAGGTCCGTTTTGTATCTTAGCATAAAGATGCTAAATGAGCTTTGTTTATCTTGTATTGCTTTGCGTCGAACAATAATTTTCGTTTTAATTGTTGTCAATTAGACTGCTGCCCGCTCGCCTCGGCTTTGAACGTCGGACGCTAGCATCTTCGCATATGACAATTTATCGTATCCCCTCCCCCCTCCCCTCTCCCTCAAAAAAAGACCTTTACCCATAATGAGTTTTGAGAACAATCGTAATCAACGTGTAAATCTCTACCTGACCAAATTCCATTAAATGTAGTTTTCCTTCCCATTGTCCACTGTCATTTCAAGCGATGATAGAATGTGGCAAAAAAGGCCGCGTTTGTAGATCATAACATGATTGATGAGGGAAAGTGAGATACATGCGAAAACGAAAAAGTCAGTTGCCAAACTCGGTTGCCACTTCAGTGCATGTCATCTTTCGCTCAAATAATTTTTATTCAACTGTATTGTATGAACCACTCGCACTGAGATGTAATCATTTTTGAATGTCACTGATTTAGAGTGCAGATGCCTGAATCACACCTTCTAGCAGATGGGTCGAAAGACATCATCTCGTTGGAACTCCGATTTCTTTCTCTGCCTTTCATGTACATTACCGCTCTCAGAACGTGCAAAATTTCCGTGAATGTCGCGAAATTTCGGAATTTCGCGACATTCACGGAATGTCGCGAAATTCCGTGAATGTCGCGACATTCCCGGAATGTCGAAAATTCGGAATTCCGCGAAATTCCCGGAATGTCGCGAAATTCCGAAAATTTCGCGGTCCTTCGCGGAATTTCGGGGTTTCCGCGACATTCACGGAAATTTTGCACGTTCTGAGAGT